ATCTATCAACACTGGATTTGACGCGGCATTCTTGAAATTAGAAAACGAAAATTTTCAGCAATATTCTTGCGAACTGATTGATTCAAACACATAAATTAGTATTTAATGAAATTTTTTCCAAAACAGAGAATCAAATKTTCCTTGACCTCGATTTCTTGCATTAATGAAACCATGGGCGTCTCCATATTGTAGTTGCGTTCTCCAAATGGATCGATATCTTCAACTGATTTGGGAGATAATGTATCCGTGATTATCGCATTTCATAATATTGCATCTTCAGTACCGCGCCATTTCACATTTTCGTCTTCCAATTTTACCCTTAAATTGAGATTCTCACGTAACCCAATTGTGTAAGAATGATTTGTTAGTTGTTCGAATGGTTTTGTGCAGAACGATTAAATAGTCATAATAGCTTTTATAATATAGTATAAAATAAAATAGAATTGTTTGATAATTGTTTGAAATGAAATTAGAACGTTGAATGGTTAAGAGAGACTTATGATATAAAATCATTCGGAGGTTTTATAATCGTTAAGAAAAAAAATTGTCAAACAAAATTCATCTTTTAACGATTCAAATATTAACTTTTAATAAAATTATTAAAAAATAAACAAACAACCTCTAATTTCTTTTTCCCATTATGATTTTGTGAACTCTTTAATGTTTTTATGGTCTTTTTACCATTTATGTGATTTGAGTTCACAAAATGGTCCTTACTATTTTGGGCCTTTTGGTGCTTTGTTATTGGGCCAATTTATCTCATTACAAATTAATTTTTTTATTAACACGGTCACGGGTCAACCCTTATTTCCTTTTTTTTTAATAAATAAATAATATAATTATAAATTATTTTTTTAAATAATCTATACTATATTATAAATTATTTGACAAAAACTCTTAAAGACTATTTTTTATACATGAAGTACTATTTATTGATTCATATTACTTAAAATTCAAGATTACAAGTAGATTGTGCTTAAATACACTTTATTAATGCTCTATCTTTGAATTATTGTAACTAACAGTAGATAAACATAATCAAATACAAGATTTAAATAAAAAAAATCTAAAATATAATTAGGATAATCATTAAATTCTAATAGAATACTTAATTACTATCTTTATAAAAATTATTTATTAAACCTAAATTAAATTATAATTAAAAAAATGAATCAAGGAAATTACGCCAAACACAAAAACTTTTAGAAAGATTAATTTGATATTGATATCGATATATTTTTTTTTAAAAATTATAATATTTTTAAATTTATATTTTATTCAAAAATAAAAACATTATCGTTTTCTCAAAA